AATTAGAATAATGAAACTTTAGCAATACTTTATCTATTCCCTAATTACATTGATACTTACCAGGCTCATTCAAACTGGGATAAAGTCCCCAAGCACTCTACGGAATCACTTTTAGGATGCAGTGAGAAATAAGCTAGATTTTCAATGCAGCAGAGCATCTGCTGACATGAACTAGTTGAGATTTCATAAAAGCTTGCCACCGACTGATGGGTACAGAGCACATTTAAGATTCTGATCTGAACATAGAATATAAATCTGGCTCGTATTTATCAGAGAGAGAACTGCGAGTAATAAAGGCAGTCCCCTACTATGTAGGATACTCTGCCAATTTATCACAGACAACGTAGGCAATTCACCCAGAAAGACTCCTTGGTTCTCACTGAGTTATGTATAGGCAATTAAAGTCAATTAGAATATTCTAATATCACACTATTGACAGCACCTGGAAAGTTGACAGAAAAATATTGTACATTCCACAGTTTTGCTTACCCGTGCTGTTGATTCTGGGCCACGATTAGCAATCTGACAGGAATCACTCTTTGGCAAGCCCAACTCCAATCTGTTCAATAATTCATTGGTTTTGCTACAAAGAAATCCAATCCAAATAGAATTGTTAGTGCTTCCATAAAAATAAATACAGATTTTTATTCCACCCTTGGAATCTAGACTAGACATTTTAGCATGTGACTGCTGAAAAACATCACAGGTGGAACAAAAGGTTATGGGAACAGACAGAATGAAAGGGGACGGAGGAAATAGAACCTATATTGTGGATAAGACATTTGCTGGGAGAATTTTTTAAGCAAGTAGTTTTTGTCATTTGCATATTTGCAGTCTATAGGGGCTATGCTTTCTTTCTGCATGGTAAAAGCTCCTAAAATGCAGACTCACATACCATTGGACTTCATCAGAATGCAAGTGCTTCACTGAATTGTTGCAAATCCTTCTACCAGATCCATAAATCTCAGACAAGTAATTTAAAAGATTATTTTAAGGCATGTTCCTTCATTGTTAATACAATGCACCCTTACAACATATTACTTAATCAGGTAGCAAGACTTCAAACCATTTTGTAGCATTAAAAAAATGCTTGTCTTTATTTGAAAAAGGGTTGCACAACATTGTCATTCCTTATTCTGGCAAGGACAATTTTATTTTTCTAATTGCATCCCTTATAAACCATATTTTCAAAGTAACATCCGGTCTCTCACAGTTTCTTAGAATCACAGAATGGTTTGGGTTGGAAGGGACCTTAAAGATCATCTAATTCCAACCCCTCTGCCATGGACAGGGATACCTTCCACTAGACCAGGTTGCTCAAAGCCCAGATAAGCAAAGTAACAAAGAATAACATATATGCTAAAAGCAGGAGTTTCGGTACTGTGATCAGGAATCAGTTTCTTAAATTGCATGTCCAGGCATATATATTCAAGTCCTTGCTCACTCAAAAGAGTAGAGTTAGAGGCAATTTTATTTCTGTATACAGCTTTGCAAAGCATGAAAGTACTTCAAGAGGGATTCAACACAAAGATTTACTTTTCTGACAGGGCAGCCAGCTAACTCTGTGGGGGAGAAGATGCCAACAGCAAAGAAAGCTACTTAACCTTGCACAAAAAGCCTTGTCTGCCAAATAGTGATGATGACTAACTGCAGAAGCAGACTTAAAAGTGTTTTTATCTTTCACTCCATGTCCTGAAACAGAGAGTAGATGCAAAATGTTTTCTGCTGGTCAGTGGGTGTATTGAGGAGAAGTGAAGAAAATGAAAAGGAACCTACCTACAAGTTCTTCTGTGCTACTCCACAGAATATAAAACCACATTAGCTATTTAAGTACAGAGGACTTGCTCACACTGTAGCAAACCATGCCTTTAGAGTCTTGGCATTCCCAGTTCACTCCTTTTCCTTCATTACCTGGGAAGTTGTGATAACCTCAGCCAACGCACAATATAAAAAGAACCAAGTGAAACACAAGAACACAACTTTCCCTGATCTATAAAACACCTATATGTTAAAGGAATTAATAGTATCTTCTTATCCAAGCTTTATGCACACACTTTTTTTTTTTCTTTTTTCAGGATAAATGAGTGGTAGAGTGATAGAGTGGTGAGATTGCACAGAATAATTTTGGGAACTTGAAGTTTTAAATTGCAGATTGTGTTTCTACCTATGCTAAAATAACTATTTATTTCTACACCAGAAAGACTAAGAACTCCTACAGAAAGTCTGGACTATATCTGAGAAGGTTGTAGCTCTATAAAGAAATATCTGGCCTCTTGGGCCATATCTGGACGCCTTAATTCCTTACAGATGGTAAAAGAATGACTTGGGGTATGCACAAGTTCTCAGTACTTGCATAAAAAGGAGGTGGATGGCTAAGACATTACTCTCCCCAGATCAGCACACTGATATGTGAAAAGCTAACTCAGTTTCAGTATTAGAAAAGATGCTTACGAGAGTGGAAGCAAATAAAGTTTCTCAGCAAGAATGTGTACTGCTTTTGTGTACAGAAGGCATCTCACTACACCACATTAAGTGATACAGTAATAATGTTTTCCTATCACAGCAAAGGGACTCAGGTTTCTGAATATGACTGAAGACAAACTCTGTCAAGTCAGTCATCTATGTTAATTCATTGTGTATTGTCTCTATGAAAACCCAGCAGAGCATCTTGAGATGCCAGACTGTCAAAATGTTGTCTGAATGGTACTTTTCATAATATTAATCCTAAAGTCATAATAATGTAGAGCATAACACAAGCCATGCTGCAGGGAATGGGGGAAGTCAGAGAGATGACAGTTCAATTAACGTTCCAGAGAGGAAAGCATTAGCTCCAGAAGGAAATCAGCATATCAAAGTGTCCATAGGTATTTCACATACAGACAGTTGGAGCAACATCTCACTCTCACTTGCTAAAACTTCAGGGGCTAATCAAAAATGCTGATAAAATATGGTCCTCTAAAATAATTAATATGAAGGAAAAAAGAAGAGGAGCTGAAGAATTGTGCCAAGCATTATTCTGCATACAACAGCCTCCTTATATTCTTTGAAAATAGTTAGGCAGAAAGAAATACAAAATTTAGACAAAGCAAGGAGATGGCACCATCCTAACAGGCTGTTAACCTGAGCTCTTAGTTCCCCGAAATATCAGGCTGCAGGGAAGAGAGCAGTGTTTAGAAGCACTGGTTAAGCTGAGGCATTCTTACAAAAATATTTTGTGTTTTGTGTTGTATTCTGTACTTCTGTTTCCCGTCACACAATTGGGAACAAGCCTTTTGCTACACTAATTAAAATAGGCTACTCCCATACTGGTTTAATAGCACCAGGCAATGGATAGCACCCGTAGCAATGGGAACTCAGCCATCTGCATTGTGGTAACAGTTTCTGGCATAGTTTTGACCTGTTCCAAATAGTACTTTCCCAAATAGCTGTTGGCTGCTGTCCGGGAACTAATATTAACCACAAGTATCTCCCATAAGGCTCTATGGATGCAATTGCCCCATTTTGGGAGGTAAAAAAACTTTGCTAGCAACAGAAACAGGCAGCCTCAAGCCTGTTGGCCTCAAAAGTGACAGTGATTGACAGTGTTAAATTTATTAGCACTGATGCAGCTGTGGTGGAGTGAAGCACTGTCAAGTTTGGGATTGAAAAACTCTTAAGAGCTGTCATGGGAAAATCCTGACTCTGTTGCCAGTAACATGTTGAATAACATGGGGACAGTGCGTGACTGTTGAAGTCAGTCCATGTTGTGACTCTTCCTGTGGGTCCTTGGATATAACACTTTACATTTCACAACTGTTCTTCAAGCAGAGTCTTTTCTTGTGCACCTCTTACAAGCTGTTACTTAAAAACTTATGCTTGAAGTGCAACAAGTACACGTAGAGTGTAGAAATGTGAATCTGTTAGGTATTCCACTGAGAACGGTGTAATTTAGGGACTTAGAGTAGTATATCCTACAACCTCACGAGCTACATCTAGATCAGGGAATCTGCATGCATTTCAACTTTTGGGGTACTAAACGTGTGTGCTCTCCACATTACCACTGAGGTAAGACAAGGGGGTGGATATAAAAGCCTGAATGAGCCTAGGTTCATTTGGCATAGAAGATGAAAATAATTTTTCTTCCTACAAATATAGTTCTTGGCTTTAGGTCCTTTTCACAGACTAACATTAAAAATGCATCAATTAAAAAGGCCTCTCATAATTTCATTACCGCTACCCAATGAAACCAGTGGCAGTTAATTCTTCTGCTTTAATTGATGGATATTGAAATGCCAGAATGTAGAAATATATACCAGCTTTAATGCCAGTGCTTTAAAAAAACAAAGCACAATATTGTTGTATATATCATAAATCTATTTATTTCTCTTGACAATTTTAAAAAGATAATGGTGTATTGGGTCTGGCTGGAATGTTAACTTTCCCAGCAGCAGCCCATACAGTGCCGTACTCTGCAGTTGTAGCTGGAACAGCAGTGTTATCACACCAGTGTTGTGTCTGCTGCTGAGCAGCAGTGGCACAGTATTAGGCCTTTCTCTAACCCTCTTAGGGGGTGGGCAAAAGGTGAGGAGAGAAACATCACTAGGGCAGCTGGCCTAAACCAATCAAAGGGATATTCCATACCATGTGATGTCACACTCAGCAATAAAAGGTGGAAACAGGAAGAAGGGGGGAGGGGTGGGCTCTCGTTTGGAAGACGTCGGTCCTCCTCTCGAACACCGGCTGCGTGCGTTGAGGCCTTGCTTCAAGGACGTGGTCAATCATCGCTCATTTGTGGGAAGTAGAGAGTAATTTCTTTCCTCTGCACTTCCATATAGCCTTCATTTATTTTGTTTGTTTGTTTTCCTCCCTTCTTTTTATTTTCCTTTTTTCCCCTCCCTTTCCCCTTTCCCTTTTTATTTCCCCTTAGTTAAATTGTTAGTTCATGGTAGTCTTTATTTAATTATTATAATTATTTCCCTTTAATTAAACTATCCTTATCTCAACCCGTGAGTTGTTCTTTGCTTTACTTCTCCCCCTCCTCATCTAAAGGAGGGGGAGTGAGAGAGCGGTTGTGGGGTTTAGTTGCCCAGTACGGTAAAACCACCACAGTCCTTTTTGGCGCCCAACGTGGGGCTCGAAGGGTTGAGATAACAATAGAATTGATTAAACGCATATAACTAACACGCTTGCTTGCTAGTAACCATGTACATTGCCCTGTTAATAATAATAGCTTTGTTCCTATGTCATGCAATCCGTGTCATATTCTCCTTTCTCCTATATATCCGATCCGACAAAGTGCTACAATCTGTGTTCACTTTTTTTAATTCGCTGTGCTGCCAAGCACTGACCTTGGTTTTAATCTGGAATTCAGGCTCTGCACTGTTATCATTTGGGTCCCATGGAAACTATCTTTCAGAGAATATTCAGAACTACACTGCCTTCCTTTTCTCATCTGGACACCAGTTTATTAATAATATTAAGAATGGTACCTTTCCCTCCTTTCATAGTGGGCTAATTACAACCGTTTGGGAGTATTTTGAAGATCCATCTGTAACCCATGTATTGCTATTTCTAATTCTGAACAACCAGTTTCATTTTCTCTCT